GCTGAAGTACCTTTGCTGGCTGTATAAGAACACACCCAAACCCCACTTCACCAGATCAAGTAACAGAAGTGAGTAAGAATGTGATCTGTGGAAGCAGAAGCTCTGTGCTCTTCGAGAGTGTAGCCAATACGACACAAACTACTCTGCAGCACAGAAATCGAGATGTCAGGGCTGAGCTGTCTGCTCTTGATCTTGTCCTTTGGTGTAAGAAATGTCATATATTTAATATTTCTGGAGATTTAAAATACACCTCTGAGAGGGGAAGTCCCGTCTTGTTGGCCTGCTGTGCCAATAAATCCTGCAGCGATGACCAGGAAGTGTCTCAGAAGGTGGTGCTGGCTGTCGACAGGGGCATGTACAGAGTTATGTTTAATCAGAAGGCAGGGAGTTTCCTACCTGTCAGCAGTGTTATTTCAAATTTAACCCAAGGACTATGCAGCGTATCACTCAGAGCTTCAAAACTGGCCCTCGTAGGAGTTTTTCCAGATCGGCCACTGGGCACATCTACAGTATGTCTTTTCATTGCCGGATTTAGTCCAGTCACTTCCTGAAAGACTCAGCTGCATCAGCTCCAGCATCCTGGCTGCTTGCTTCAGTTTTCTTTCAGCACAAACATTCAAAAGCAAATATTTGTTCATTGCGTGGTAGCATCATATCTGTCATCAACGGGCTGAGGAAAATAACCACCGCGGCAGAACAGCTTAAGAGTAACATAGCAAACCTTTCCGAGGAGCTATCCAGGAGAAGAGTCTGAAATAACGGAGATTCCTGGAAATATATCGGACAATATACGTCTGCTGTACAATATTCACAGTTTGTGCATCTCGCTTCAGGTTTCCTTCCAGTTCAGTTTTTTCAGATCTTTCTGTGTCACTAAAACACGCAGTTTTTCCAAATGAAGGAACATCATGAGTGTCCTATTTGTTTTAGGGAAAATACAACTAGCTGGTATGACTGAATTTTGAGTGACAGCTTGTATCTAGCATCATTACTATTTTTATCACATGAAAAGAAAACACCTTTTGATCAGGTCCGTATGATACAAATTTGGCCTAAGAATATATTTTAGTGCTAAAATAAAACTTTCTTGTTTTCTGCCCTCATTTGTCCCAGGGCTGAGAAGAGTCACGTGAATTTGGGAGCAGGATGTCCTCATCGAATCACACACAGTACGGGAGTGAACATCACAGGTTCCTTTTCCAAATTTTTGACAGTGATTTCCTGTGGCACCTGCACGTCAACCCTCCCATCCCTGCGGAGGAGTAGGGATGAATCTCTCGCTCCTCCCTGCCACGTCAAGAATCGCTGATCAAAAAGACACCGAGATTACAAGGACTCGGAGCAGAGAAATATGCAAATGTATTTCTGTTATCCTCACGGGGGGGGGTAGTTTCTCCAGTTACAATATACTGACAGCACTGAATGATGAACAGTTTTTTTTCTCTTTGTCTTTGGGGAATGTTTGAAAACTTACTCTGAACAAATTGTTCTAAACTGGGTTATATTTAAAGAGAGCTCAAATGTTTTTCTGAGCTATGAAGAAGCAGGACTGAAGTCTGCGGATATGGTTGATGTAGAAGACATGCCGTATGATGGTCACCTGTCACTCAGCAAGTGGCGCGCGCGATACCTGCCAGGTGTGCAGCTGATCTCTTGAAATGCCCGACCATGAGCAGTTTGTAAGCTCGCCGTACAGTGGTGGAAATAAGCACTGGGAGTTGGGCAGCCCTGTTAGATCCTAAGGAGCTCCACTGGGGGAGACTGCAAGAGCATCTTCCCCAGGATCACACCTGTCACGGTGGGATCGAACTGGCCTCAGGCAGCCTGCACCTGCAGGAACCAGTGGCTCGTCCTGATTTGTGCAGGAGCCTCTCTGCCGAATGCAAGCCCCGTTCTCACCAGCACAACATCGTGGACAGGAATGCACTAGAGGGAGTTCAGGTTCTGGACAGGAGCGAGTTTCTTAACCAGAAAGGGACCCCGCGCAGGCCTGCGTGCTGCGGGTGAACTGGAGGGGTTGTGGATCCTGCTCCTGAAAGAGATTCAGCGGTCTTGGGCCGTGGATCGGACTGCAGCCGGAGCTGGGGCGTCCCTGCCCGGGCCCTCCTCCGCGACCCGACCTACATCTCGGGAGGCTCTGCTGAGCTTTCCCACGGGGAGCCAGATCAGTCGTCATCGCGTCGTTAATCAGCGTGCGTTGGGGGTCTGCAGGTCCTCAGCTGCCAGAGGAAAGGGGGGCGGCTTTTTTTCCCTCCATAACACCAGAAAACTGAATGCCCCCCCCCCCTTCTCCTCCAGTGTGGAACCCACTGGAGCCCTGCGGAGTGCAGCCAGCCGGTCTTCTGAGTGAACACTTTTTTAAAAATGGAAAATGACACATGTCCCAGAGCTTTTGACTCAGCGCACAAACAACAGCCTCCTCTCCCCCCCCCCCCACCCCGACCCCCCACTCTTTTATTTTGTAAGAGACTGTGCTGTTGCTCGAGCACAGTGAAAGGGCCCCTTTGTCAAACCCAGATATGAGTCAAGCGGGTGAGAGACAGCCTCTCTGAGCGCCAACAGATTCCACACAGCCTCGTCCTTCCCGTTCATTTATTATTATTATTATTATTATTATTATTATTATTATTATTATTAAATATGCTTTATAAAGAGAACACAGTCAAACAAGGGAGCAAAAAATACAGTCGGTGGTCATCTTCAGATGTTGCATGACATGTTATCCGGATTCGTCTTAAAAACTGCAGCACTTTCACTTGGCCAATGTAAAAAAGAAAAATCATTTTCCCCTCACAGGTTTTATTCTACACACAATTACAGTACATGGCATTAAATATAGAAATCATTTCATCACCCTGCATACTTTTTTTTTTGTAAAAATATTAAAATCTTCAGGCATTTTATTATTGATTATTAAAATGATACATGGGAAAGTAAACGTGCATTCAGTAACATTCAACTCGCACGGGTGCATACAGCTTGTAAAGGAGTCCAACTGATAGAGGGGGCGCAGTGCTGCAGATATAATGATGATAATGAAGTAGGCGATGTGTTGGTTTAGTCAGAGGACAGTGTTTAAACAAAGTCGTACTTATAAGCATAACACCATGCAGCTGAAGGTATTTTTTTAATACTGAGCCAGAAAATGGAACATTTTTTGGATGCCACACGTAAAAGGAATTATTAGTTCTATGTCAGAAAGCGAGTCTCTTGTTTTGGTAGTGTAGCAGTGCCTTGCACCCAGAGAAATGTTGACACAGTGCTTGTCCTCTTACCATAGTCTTAAGATTGCTCTCCCAGTGTTGGGTCTCAATTTGCAGTTAGATTATCGCCACAGGCTGGCCTTGAGACCTCACTCCGAGGACGGAAAGTTTCACACGCTTCCCAAAAACGTCCTGAACGTTTTCAAGTGATGTACAGGTCTGTTCTACAGCGTGCCGAGTAAAGGCTCGGCTTATCTGTCACACCAGCTCCATTTCGCTACCGCAAGTATTCCAAACAGCGCTCTAGTCCGATTTCCCCTTGCACCGCTCATCGACACGCAGACTGAAATATTGCGGCAAAAATAAACAAATCGGGAACAAGTGCAGTGATCAACTCTAAACGTGCGGCACAAGAATTATACTTGGCTTGACAACGGTTCCCTTCTCTCCACACCTGGGAGACGACCTTTAGGAGCCTGCCTCGTTTCATTCTGGATACCTGGCTGTCAGGGGGGTGGTAACTAAGGCTCCAAAGACGACAGAAAGTGCCTCAACGTGAACATGGGTGCAAACTCATCTGTAACCGTCGGAAACGCAGAGATGGAGGTCATTGTGGGCTGCTCAAACGGGCTTGGGCACGTTTCTACAGTCCGTTGATTTACCCAGGGGGTGATAAATACTGAGCAGGAACCCAGCAGGAATAATTTGGCTTCTATTTATCCGTCATCGGAACGTCTCCTGCCCTGGTCAGGGCTGCAGCAGGCTTGCACCTCACCCTGGAGGGACAGCGAGCAAGGGTAGGGGAGAGACTGACTGCCAGTGAACGCCCTGCCCTGGACAGGGACCTGTCCATCCCGGGGCCAAGGAGACAGGGACAACTGAGGACATCACACCAGCTCGTGTGTAAGTGTAAGTGTAAGAGCTCAGGTCTCGGGAAAAGGGGGCTGAATCTTTCCAGCTCATTCTGAGCTCCGGAAGGCGAGGACAAACTCATCCACAACTCCCTGGGATCGATTAAGAACTTTTGCCTCTAAAACCATAGCTGGATAAATTATTCACAAACAGTTACAGTTTATCGCTTAATTATTAACGTGTTGTATTTTCCAGAAATTAAGACCAAAGGAAGGCAGCATTTGCCTTGCAAGTTACCTGCACTGCGCACACACACACACACAGCTGTAAATAATGGCAGCAAGATTCCATCTTAGGGAAAAATAAAGGATACCACAGAGACAGCAGCTACACAAGAACATGGGCACGGTTAAGTCTTTTGTCTATGAATTATTACAAGGTGTAACTGGAGCACAAAGTTCCCAAAATCTGAAATACAAAAATGAGCTGCCAAGTATAAATTTAGCAGCTCTCACATTTGTCCTACAGTAGCTAAGCACAAGCACTGTTGTACATCTGCAAATGGCCGATCTTAATCTAATGCTGTTTCCTACACTGTGCAGTATCAACACATTTAAACCTTGTCTTCTTAAATTCCATTTCATCGAACTGGGTTTTACACAAAATTGAGTTACCTTATAATTATTAACAATCAATTATCCACCTGGTGATGATACAGGAAAGGCAGGACCAGAATGTTAGTATCCATCATGATATACCTTGCCTAACATTCGTGCATCTGTTTTTCCCCAAACTCATCACATCCAGTATAACTGAAAAAGATCAGAGTCGCTCTGTTCTTCCCTGGCACAGCAGATCAGCTCTGGAGCATCGCCAGAGTGTCATGAAGCCCTTCAATTATACTTAGCAAATTCTCAGCACATTTGGTTGGCTAATCCTGAATGCCTTCATTTTGCAATCCCTCTAATCACTCTCCCAGATCTAAAATCCCCAAGCTGATCGCTTGGACTGGATATCGGTAAAATGTCTTTTTTTTCCCCCCACTCCTGGAGGAGAACCGCTTGATCGTTCGGCTTGGTCTTCCTAACGAGCAAGCAGAACATTAAAAATTTAAAATGATAAATAAGAGACGCAAATGTGAGATATGCTCTCATCATAATAATTCTGCATTTCTAAAGCACTTTATATAGCAGAGGGGACCCATCTGCCCCACCACTGACATCCAGCCCCCTTCTGAGTGACACACAGCAGCCCTGCTGCACAGCAGACCAGGGGAGGAGTCAAACTTCTTCAGCGGCTGGATTAAGGAGGAACCAGGAAACCAGTGTGTCACTATATATTATTACTTATAATGCATTTCACATAGAAACAGACATCCTCATCCTATTGGAATTCACAGTAAGGCTTCCTACAGGAACTGCTGGAGATGTGAAAGGCAGTAAACTGGTCTATTTCTAGAAGAACCTACAACGATACGTTGAAATCCTACTCCAGAGGCAGGATGCTTCAGCCTGAGGCACCCTTTCCCTTCGGCACTCCTGGCTGGCAGGGCTGTGCTGGCAAACAGTCGCTGTGGATGCCACAACCCTGCTGGCCTTGGTAATACACAACACCGACCTACAAGCCACTGTAGCAGAGAAGCGGCTGATGCAGGGGAGATTGATTTGCCTCAGGAGGGGAAAAAACAAGTACCAGGCTGGCTAAACATCCTCCATTTTTTTGTTTTCTGACAGGCCATTACATCCTATTATAAATAATACCGACGAGGCAAACATGAATATAACTCTTCTCCATAGTAAAATACGTATCTACAAACATCTATAATAAATAGGCTTCATGTTAAGATATGTATAACAATATATTTTATATACAGAACATCAAAGGTGCACTTGGTTATATAATGTCGTCCAGGAGGTGGGGGGTGCCCACCCAGTCCAGGGTTCTGGGCTCGGAGGCGGCCATGATCATACACATGAACTGCTTCCCAGTCCGCTTGTCGATGGGGTAAATGGTGGTGGGAGTGAACCTCTTGTTACTTTCCACAAACTCACAGAGCTGCTGGTAGATTTTGGGGTACTCGTGGCGGAGGAAGACCCCCCGGGTCCTCAGCTCGCGCTGAATGTTGATGAAGCAGATCTCCCTGGCCTTCCTGCCCTCCTCCCCTTCTTTGTCGATGTCCGCCGTGCCCGGGGGAGGGGTGAGGATCAGGGTCTCCATGTCGCTCTCCTTCCTCAGGATCTTCTTCTCGGGGCTGGAGGAGGCCAGGGCCACCTTGGCGTACTTCCTGACCGTGGGGGCTGGGACCCTCGGGGAGGGCCTGTTTGGCACGTGTTCGCCGACGGCTATGGATACATTCAGGAGGAAACATTCGCTGGGGTCGTACTCCTGGCCGGCCTCCTGCAGCTCCTTGCCGTACTCCCCCAGGTTGTCCCTGAAGCCCTCCAGCTCCCTGAGGGACAGGTAGGTGGGCGACATGAGGAGGCTCTCCAGGCCGTACTGCAGGAAGTTATCGGCGGACCCCGGGTTGGGGAGCCCCAGGAAGAGGACGCCCCTCCCGCGGGACAGGAAGCCCACTTTGGCGATGCGGGAGAAGGCCAGGTGGACGTCGCCGCTCTCGCGGCAGAACCTGAGGATGTGCCGGCAGACGCTGCCCACCCGGCCGTACAGGCAGTTCTCCTTGTGCACGTCCCAGTCCTCGCGCCGACAGTTGCGGGAGCAGTAGTAGGTGTAGCAGCTGTGGCAGGACTTGAAGTAGAGGCAGGCGTTGAACAGGGTCTCCGTCCGCCCGCACTTGCTGTTGGAGCACATCATGGTGTCGTCCTCGTCCGTGCTCTGGTCCGGCGAGCACTCCTCGGCGCCCCGGGGGAGCCCGCCGAAGCCGCCCCCGCCCTCCTCCTTGTGGGCGGCGGGGCCGACTTTCAGGGCCGCGGGCTGCTTCTTCAGCGGGGCCGGGTCATCCGGCTCCAGGGGCTCTCTCCTGGCCGACGGGCCCGACTCGTCCTCGTTGATCAGCTTCTTGAGCTGGTCCAGCAGGTCCTCGCTGGGCCTGCGGCTGGCCGGGGGCTTGTAGTCGATCACAAGGTCGGCCAAAAGCTCGTCCAGCTGCTCCAGGCTCTGCTGGAGGGAGGAGCTGTTGTGGGTCTTCTCTTTGGTTCCGTCCTCGTTGTGCGGACGCGGGTCCTGGTAAGGTCCGCTCGGGGCCGGAGTGGTGCTGGAGTCCAGCACATCCCAGCTGGCCGAGCGCCCCTCCTTCTTGCCGAAGCCGGCGGGGCGGATGTCGTTGTCGGTGATGGTGATCTCGGGCGTCACGAACCACAGCCGCCCCAGGGCGTTCCTCCCGCCGTCCGAGCGCACCTTCTCCATCAGCGAGTTCTCGGACAGGGACAGGGCCGCGTAGCGCCGCGGCGAGCTGGACAGGTTGACGATCACCGGCTGCCTCCTCTCGTCCGGGGACGAGGCCCGCTTGCCCCGGCAGAGCAGGTTCTCGTAGCTCCTCCCGCGCTGCACCGGGGGCTCCCTCTCCGCGCCCGGGTTCAGGATGTTGTCCCAAGACTTGGAGTAGGGCCTGGAGTCCGTCCCCAGCCTGCCCTGCTCCAGGCCGTGGGAGCCGTACCACGGCGAGAGCACGGGTTCGACCCTGGTCCTCTGCGGGGGATACTGGGCGGCGTGAGAGGAAGGATGGTGGGTGGCATAGCCAAGTCCATCGGAGCCGTACCACTCGCCCACCTGAGGCTGAGACACCCTTGGGCGGCGGCGGCCCTCCGTGTGATAGGCCCGGGAAGGAATATGGTGCTCCGCGGGGGCAGCGTAGTGCTCATTGGTGTAGAACACCTTGGATGGGACCGTCTGGAACTGGCAGGTTCTAGGGTCCTCCCCATAGTACGTCCTAGAAGGGGCAGTCTGGACAATGTAGGGCTGGGGGTCATTGGTAGAGTAAGGTTTGGGATACACTGGGTACTGGCGAGGCTCTTCGGTATAATATGGCCGGGCTGGGAAAGTGTGAACCAGGCGAGTCCTGGGATCTGGCGCGTACTGCACTTTGGGAGCAAGGTTTTGGCTGGGATAGCTGTAGTGTTCCTCCTGGTAGAAAGTCCTGGCAGGGGGAGCCGGAGCCGGAGCCGGAGCGGGAGCAGGAACCGGAGCCGGAGCAGCATACCCGCCGAGGTCCTCGGTGTAGAAGTATTTGGTCGGCACATTGGGGATGGAAAAAGCCCTCCGCTCTCTGCCAAGGTACTCCCTGGGAGACGGCACGGTCTGCACAGGGAGGTCCGCCGGGGCGTAGTCATTTGGCATGCAGCTGTGATACGGGTACGCCTGCCTGTACTCCCCACTGTAGGAGTCACTGGGGGTCGGCGTCCTGGAGGAGGAGGCCTGGCGTGGCACAATCAGGGCCCTGCCCCCCCCGCTGGGGTATCTCTGCCAGGCCACCTCAGCCCTGGGCACCGGGGGCTTCCCCCCCTTCACCGCCTGCTGCAGCACGGCCTCGTCCGGCTTGATATCCACGCGGCACCTGACATGAGGGCTGGCGGCCTGCTTGTCCGATCTGCTCTCCTCCAGGCAGTCGGAGACGAACAGAGGGGAGTAGCGGCTGTCTCCCCTCTGGGGCTGCAGTTTTATGGGGTGGACCTCGTTCATCAAGGCCCTGTTCGAGGGATGGTAGGGCCCGTAGGAAGGCTCCCGTCGCGGGGAGCCCTCCGGCCTCCTCTGGGGCTCCCGGGGGGCCCTCTGCACCTCCCTGCCCCTCCGCACGGGCGGAGGAGACACCTCGATGGGCACCGGCGTGAAAGTGGTCTTCGCCCTGGGGGCGCTCTTCGACCGGGCCCTCCTCTTCATGTCCGCCCTGGCCGCCTCGCTCGTGGCCTCACACGCATGGGGCTGCTGCTGCTGCTGCGCAGGAGGGTGAGGATGAGGAGGAGGAGGAGGCAGCCTGGAGTTGAACAGGTCCGGCGAGGAGAACCGGAGGTGACCCTGCTGAGCCAGAGCGCTCCAAGCGGCATCGGGATTGGGGACCCCCCTGTCGGCCCTCCGGTACCTCTGCTCCATCGAGGGCGCGCAAGCCTTCGGATCGTCCAGGGACTCGAGGAAGTCGAAGCTGCGGCAGTGCCTCTTGTTGAACTTGTCCTGATCGAGCTCCAGCGTGCCGAGGATCTGGGAATCACATGGTGAGGATGAATGGAGAGACCTGGAGGACGTGGAGCTGGGGTTCACTTTAATGTCTCGATACACAGTCGATACCAGTATGTCAGGCGGGTCTGTTCGTGTCATCTTAAAAAGGGACTCTACAAGTTCCTCCCTTCAGACTGCTTCGAGGTGGATATTTCCTGCAACACAAAGCCAACAAAAATCATGTTTTCACCTCCAGGAAATTCCTGTGCAATAGTTCCGATGCTCGCAAACAATCGTGTCACCCGGTTCCTCTCAAAACACTTCTGGCGTTTGCCACTTGGAAGAGTCAGACCCCACCGCTGATACATCCAGGACCCAGAATACTGTGCTCAGGCAACTGCACACGTCTGCACATCTTAAAGGCTAAAAATGAAATTAAATGTAAATATCGAATCAAAAGAATAAAGGAGAGATTCGTATCACATGGCATAGCTGTTTTCTACCCTTCTGTCACTCAAGTCTGCATTAAAAACCCACATTTCTTCATTGGCCTCCGCACAGAACTGAGTTTGAATGCTCAGGGTGGGTGAAGGGCTCTGGACTGGGCCCTCTCAAATGGGAATCTGCACAAGCCGGAGTCGATCCGTCTTACAGCCGTTTATGGAGTTTTAAACAACAGCTCGGGAGGAGGTCAGACCCCGGTCTCGCCCACTTGTGCCACCTCCATCCAGACATCGGGCCTCCTGCTGACTCGCTGGCGCATTTCACTTTCAGGTCCTTCCCCCACCCACCTCCTCCCTCACAGCGGCGCCCTGACTCATCCTCCATTAATCAGGGGGGCGGGGGGTTCTCAAGCAGGTGAGTCACCCCGATTCTGCTAGCTGTTCGCAGCACGCCTCTTCTCCACCTTCATTAGGGTTTGACCGAGCTACTGAAATGTGCTGTTATCGTGTATTTACTGGAACTGTTGTCGTCATTTTATGTTGTTTTTTTTAAAGATTTTAATTTGAATGGTTTTTAAAATGCGGGGCTTTGCGAAAGAAGTTTTCCTTAAAGCATACAAGATATATAAATCCAATTCGATTCTCTCTCAGGTGCTAACATTCAGGGCTCCACAGGTCTGAACTGTGGAGTCACTTTTACATTGCACACATACATGATAAGTTATGGGTTTGTGTCACTATAGATAAATGTAGCAGTATTTAACCTTTCCAATCTTTACAAGCTCAACTGGATGGATTTATTGACGATATGAAATGCCAAATGGGGAAAAAAGTGAAAATACTGAAACAGTTCTAAATAACTTAAATTCAATTTTAGGATACATTTCCAAAAACAGGGTAAGCAAAATCACAACTTTTAACACTAAAGAGTAAGAGTATAAAATGTCCTTTTTTGTTACTCTTTTGAGTTAAGCCCGCATCAGAGATCAGCCTTATGAACTGAACCTTATCGACAAACTCATCACACTTGAAGCTTGAAGCTGGACTAGTGTGTGCTGAGTAATTTAAGGCTCACTTTCACTGTCGGTTTGACTTGGTGTTACCTGCAAAAAAACAATTTAGTGTCTTTGAAGCCTAAGCCATCTGCCCCTGTGTTTGAAGAGAAGATCTGGAAACAAGTGTTATTCCAGGGGTCCGGCCATTAAAATGTATTTTTCACAAAGTCATGGCTGGGTTTTTGCTCGGACCTGTGTGTGACAGTGTAGCTCTCAGGGATGGGTCTTCTCCTGAGCATCACGTCTGCTGTAGTGTTTTAGTGTTCCTCTGGGCTCTCACGGCAGTTGGCATCTCATGCTCTGAATATGTATTCAACTGAAACTCAGCCCATCGTGGGTGAAATTCAGAGAGCATGTCTAACAGGAGAGCTGATGAAATGTTGTAGTTGTTCTTGAAATGTGGGACACAGTACCTAGACGAGCCCAGTATTCAGGCAAGAGAAATGTCACACTGGGGGAATCTACTGCCACTTTCTCAACTTGAAGTGCAACTTGTCAGTGAACGCTGTTTTCTTTTTTGGTTTTTATGCTACTTCCCCAGTTGCTGACAGAAGCTGGGGGGGTAACACTCAGATTTTGATTAGTCACTGCAAAGGCACATGGGGAGAATGAGGAGATTGTCATTGCAAACTGCTTCTGGGATATGTTTAGGCTGGATTGTGTCCTTGTGTCCTTGTTGAAACTTTGCGAATAAAAAGAAAGACCAGGGACAGTACAGGACTCGTGGCTATTAGCCACACTGCCATACAATTACTCGGTCTGAGGTTTAATTCCCAGTGACGTGGGATCCTTCTGTGTGGAGTATGCATGCATGTCTTCATGCATTTTCTACCGGAGCTCCGGCTTCCTCCAACCTTCCAAAGACAGGCTGGTTATGAGAAGTCAGGACTCTAAGTGCTGGGAGTGGTTTCGCAGGTCTGGTAGTCCTGTCCAGGGTGGGGGTCCCTCCTGGTACCCTAAGACTAGAGTACAGGCTGTGGGTTCGTCAGCAGGAATAGAACACAAGAACTGTAAATGAGAGCATCATTCCTACCCATTCACCCGACCGGCCCATCTGCTAATTAACAGTTAATTAATGCCAGGATCTCATCCAGCCTTGTTCCATACTCCCACACTGCTTTGGGTACAGACGCGCCTCCTGTTTTTGGATTTCACAGTGTCCACTCGTGTCCTCGGGTTCATGTGTCACTGCTGCTCAGAAGCAGTTTTCGATAACGGACGGAGGTAAAATGCAGAATATTGCAATCGTTTGATCACGAGGAGCAGCGATCAATAAAGGCAAACAGTTGAAGGTATCCATCACACCCTGGTTAACCGCAGTGTCTGGGCAACGCAGATGGCAGAGATACATAACTGGTCTTCTTTCTGAACACCCTGCAGCGGCCTGGTTTATCTGTCGCTCCCTCCCAGCAGCCTCTCACTGCTACGCCCACGCGCTGTCTCACACAAGATCACAAGTAACTACGGAGGAAGAGCACCAAATTACAGAGCTCCTGCAACATTCTGTCAAGTCCAAGAAACAGTCTGGAAGCAGGATTTCAAGAGAACCGAGGGCAAACTTCCTGAGAAGAATGCTAATAGGATGTAGAGAACTGGTCCTAATCAGGGTTGACTATTTTTACAAGCAGAATTAAAGGACTGCGTTTACTGATATAGCGCGAGAGAGATGCGACGTGTGCCGTCCCGGGCGCGAGACGCACACGCGCAGGCGACCGGAAGTGTGCGAGATTGGGATCTCCCCTCCCTCCCGAATTTCTCCTCTCTGAAGCCTCTGGGAGCCAGTCCAGGGCAGCCGGTGTCGCTTCTCCTGCTCGTCCCGAGGAGACTGTAAATATCAGGCCTCGCTGGCAGCCACACACAGCACGCTACACGCCTCAGACCGCCAGCCGCCAGCTCCCTGCCCCCCCCGGGGCGCCTGGTCTCGCCAGGGGACATTCAGTCACTCCGCTGGCCGGGATGCTCACTCCAGACATCTGCAGCGCGAGAGGAGCCTCATCAGCTGTTTCTTGACAGAACCGCCCGGCTTCCGCAGCAGGGCTGGGACCTGCCGCATCAGCCTGTTCCCCACCCCCACCACCCTTCGTGGAAAGAAGCGCCGCCTCTTCTCATTTTGAAGTCATAACTGTATGCACCCCCTTTCTCTTTTCCTTGGCTGTGAGGAGCCCTGAAGAAAGCCGTTGAAAACACATGCCACTGACTGGCTGGCTCCCCGTTCCTGTGCGCAGGAGTGGGCTCAAACAGGAGCAGGGGTGGACGTGAGAATGACAAAACACTCCTCACCCGGTGCTCGGTCTAGCATCTCAATATCAAGCCTCTCCAGCTGGGCGCTAATGAGAAAACAGACTCCTGAGGCTCACAGGTGACCTGTGCAAACATTCCTCATTCTTCTACTACAGACTCCTACCCTTCACTGCTTCAAGGGTATTATATTTCATGTTTTACTACAGATTTTCATAGCGCGTTCCTGTCTTTCCTTATTTTAGAAATTGTAACAGTGTTGGAACAGAGGCCTAGAAAGTCTGGCCCAGACATTTGCTACATGTCTCGACTGGACCTGAATCTTTCAGCAGTTTCTAAGGTGATCCCTGCCATCCTGGAGGCTGGTCCACGACGTCACGGAGCTGAGATCGCCAAACTACCGTCTCCACCAGAACCTCAGCAGCCCCGTTTCTCCCGAGAAGCAGGACACATCTTCTGGGAAGCAGACAAAAAACGCTGATTCAGTGTCCCTGGAAGGGGTTTTTCTCAGAATCATTTAAAAAAATGGCAGTAAAACAGAGCGACTGAAAAAAGACGCCTAGAAAAGTTCACCTCCGTTCATGTTTGATGACCAACAGGTGCTTCAGAAAAACACTCAGTTTCACGCCACCAGTTTTTGCAAAGGTCGTTTTCAGGTCCAGCTTTCGTGTTGCAGTTCGTGCCAGAGAACATGAAAGAAAGATTCACAGAAGAAAAGGCTCTGTCTAACTCTCCAACACTTGTGTGTTGCACGAATAATAAGGGTCCTTCACTGCCTCAATGAGACTGTTCTATAGAGCACTGGAGCAAAGCAGGAACCGAAACTGAAAAACAGAGAGAAACATCTCGATTCCTCATGAGCAGTTTAGGTGCACGGTCAGTGTAGTTTGTTGGTTATCTTTTATTTTTTTCTGGAAGAGTTTCAGGGCTGCTTTACCTGTGGTTCAGTTAAAACAGTACTCTTGAAGCACTTCGCAATTCAGAAATACAGATTATCCTCCACTTTAGTTTTAATTATTGTTTCCTCCTTTGCAGCCATCTATCGTGTATATGCAAAATAGGCTTTGTTAGTGAAGGACTACTTGTTCGTTTTTGTCAGTCTTGCACATAACGCCTGGAGGGCCAGTCTCTGGAGGGCCAGTAAAGCACACTTACTGGACTGACTCTTTTGCCTCACTGCACTCCAGGAACACCTCCTCTGGGAGAACCCTGATTCCCCAGAATTCTCCCCTGGGACACTGGATGTCTATAGACATGAGGCCACTCACAGACGACTGCACCGCCTCACAGCACAGCCGACCAACACATCTGTCTCCGCCATCCCCCCCAGAGAGTGACAGGATGTCAAAAATGAAACAGGAACGCTAAACGAAGGGCAGGAGCCTTTCGGCGTCCGCCCAGATCGTGTGAGCGAGGAGCACGTGCCACACGGTCCTGCTGCTTCTGCCGAGAGCAGCTGTTAACGTCTTACAGGGGAGGGGCGACACATACAGGAAGCACAGATACCTCAGACACCCTTAGCTCCTTTCCCCCTGCCATACGAACTCTGAAGTCACGCTGAACTCTGAACTCCACTGTAGAATTTCTGCTGCTGCTACACGGATTGTTTCCATGTGTATGTGACGAAGCTTGTCTGTCTTCTGTCCTATTTAACTTTGTACTGTATATGTTGTATGTAGGTCTCATCTATTCTTGCTGAATAGCAAATTCCACCAACTATTGTGGTGTGGCAATAAAGAATGATCTTATCTAATCTAATAAACTCCAGTCCTTTGCACAGGACCAGACAAAATACACATTTGAATGTATATAGAAATGCCGGTACAGCAGGGTGGCACGGTGAGCACTGCTGGGGCCCCGGGCTGTGTGCGGTCTGTACGTCCTCCCTGTGTTCACGTGTGTCTCCCCCTCCAGCTCCCTCCCACAGTCCAAAGACAAGGTAGGTTAAGTGGCTTCTGGGAAAATTGGTCCCGGTGTGTGTGCGTGCGTGCGTGTGTGCGTGCGTGCGTGCGTGCCTTGGGTGTACCCTGCCTTGCGCCCAGTAATCATGTAATGGATGAACTGGTTAGAAGATGGATGAGGAAACGGCATAGCAGGCCCGATCTCTGCCATCTGCAGACCCACACCTTCTCCTCTTCCAAGCTGCCATCAGAGCTGAGCCCTGGATTTATCAAATATTACCACGAGACGTCAGCAGGGAAAGGGGCAGCAAAGCCTTTAAGAACCTATGATCTTTAGCTTGGCGCTCGGATGATACAAGAGATCGTGAGAGCATATGGCATACCAAATCACAGCAGCGTCTGAAACATGACCACGCTGCTGTACCAGCACGCTGCCACTCTGGAAACCAGCAAGCTCTGTGCCCAGTGCTGACCTGTCCTCCTGGCTCCGGGCTGGACTGGGAACGTCATGGCACGAAACACACGTACTGGACACACGTTGCTTTTCGTAAGTAAGGAGTAAGTCAATAAAGACAGCGCAGATGTCTCTGCCACCTAACTTGACGTCAAGCCTGCCGCTTTCTGAACACGACCTCAGGAGGCGAGTCCAGGTCAGTCATTTCATCATTTTTATTCTCAGTCACTGAGGGAAAGGAGCTTATTAGCAAGTGCTTCCCAGTCCAAATCCCAGCTCTGCTTCCCAGAGACATGCTTGGGTACCTCCTTGCAGCCTATCCTTTGGTTCAGATCATACAAACAGCAGTCCAGAGGCGGTTCTGATGGACAGCTCCATCTCTGACAAATGCCTGGAAACCCCAGCACCACATTAAAAACAAAACTTGCAAAGAAACGTCAGGATGTGCATTAAATTCTCCGTTAGCTCCTGCAAATTCTGCCACCTGGAAGAAACACCACTGAGGTCCAGTTCAAACTGACTCTGGAGCAGCTGGTGCAGTATAACCCCCCCTGCCCCCCAGCCTCTGTAAGATACTCTGCAAAAACGCTGCTGCTTAATGCATTATCGTTATTATGCTCAAGACAACATGCAGGAATATTGGCACCGTTTGACCTTAAACCAGCCCAACTGTGTGCACAAGGAAATTTAAATTCCTCCATCCCAGCAAGACAATACAAACATGAAGAAATGCACAGCAGTATTTGCAAGCTGATCCAATTCCAAATAAAACACAGGCCATGAAGCAGGGAGCACAGTGACTCCGAACTATTCCCTGATGGTGCAATCACTGTGAACACCACTCGGCTCCCAGCCATAATCCGGGAGCCTAACTGTGTCCCCACGACCCACAAAGTTTGGAGAGCAAGAAATCCGGATGGGTTCTGCAGCTGCCTGGAAGGGTGCTGAACGGGTCACCTGAAGGTCTGCTCTGCTGGTGGCCCAAGAGCAAGGGCCTCAGGTTCAACCAGCAATGGCAAAAGGTCAGGAGTATCAGGCCAGCGCATCGGCGCCACACCCTTTCCACGCCAGGATCCACTCCCAGAGTGTCGCTTATTCCCAGAGAGTGTGCCAGGAGTGCAGGGCACAAGGATGAAGCTCACGCCGGGCAGGATGCCAGCCCACCTCGGGACTCACAGAGCAGTGTGTCTAGAAACCGGTTGCCACAACCAGGCACTATGACAGAGTGTCAGTCAGCAGAACTCACAGCCTGGGAGGAGTCCCAGGGTTCTGCGATTTCATCGAGAGGAAGCTGAAGGAAATGACAGAGATTCCAAGCTGGTAAAAACGGACGACGTCAAGAAGCTTATCGCTGCCCTATAGCTCTTCTCTGTAAAGCACAGACGACCTCTGTCGCTTCTCTTACACAGCAGAGAGAAGGGCTTCCTGCACACTCAGAGCACCTGCCCACTGCGCCTGTTGGGTCAGCCATTATCTCTCAGTGCTTAAGCTGTACTGCCATTGACACTCTATTGACTATCATATAAATTCCCATTACTGGGATCAATAGCCTGCAGATCTCTGCCTCTTCCCCAGGGGCCTGTACATACAGAAATAACTTTCCAAACCAACTGGCTTTTTTTGGCTGGGAAATGCGGGGCACAGATTTATAAACTGGAGCATGAGACTGCAGCACATGGTACATGCAGCCTGTATGTGTGTGTGTGTGCATGTGCATGCAACATGTGTTTACAGGTGTCGCTGATGATGCACAGAAGTGGCCTCCAGCCTGTGATGACAGCTCGTTACCTGGAATAACAGAGCTGCTGCTTGAGGTCGCCTGTGGTGTCATTGCATCAGGCATGACAGGATCAGCAGTGCTCATTACAGGACGGCTCTTTAAAGGACACCTTAGCCCTGGCAGCTCCAGAGTAAATATAACGGATGGGTAAACAATAGAGAACTGATATTCCAAAGCTGGCTTTTATCTGGGTTATTGCGTCAAAGTGCAATAAGGCTTTTTAGCGATGACACACTTATCGCGATGAACATCACCTGCTTTTACAAAACCCAGGATGTCTGAGACAGATATAAATGGTGGGGCGCACCAGTTAGACCTCTGCGAGACTCCCCAGGGGTTCGGAAGGGAAGGCTTGTGCAAATGAATTCTCTCACTCCTCGCGCTGTGGGGACCCGCGGAAAGCGACACCGGGGGGGGGGGAGGGCTGGACTTCGTGGACAGGGAGGACTGGAGCTCCCAGCTGTGAACATCGCGTTTCTTGCGCTCCTCCGAACCCCCCGAGGTGTTTTTTTTCTTGACTGATCAACATTCTGTACCGCACAGGCACCGGAAATACTGCGCGCACACTTCACGGGGGCCAGTATTGCGTCTTCAGTCGACTCCAGGCCACCCTGCCCAGCCTCTGATTCCGAAAAGCACTTGTTACATACTGTAAACACACACACACAGAGCCCACATGCCTTGTCTCCTGGAGACCGTACACACTAACCGCGCACCTTCAACCCCCTCGGCGAGCGCGCTGTGTGCTGCCGGATCACAGCAGCAGCGGGCGACACTCACGCCTCATCACCCGTGCGAGGCAGCGCGCCCCACACTTAAAAGGGCATCCCGTGAACCGGACCATGACATCACTGGGAAGAGGATCCCCCGTTGATAATGTGTGGACTGGCTTTTTTTAGATCACGTGTCAGAAGGCGAAAATACTACAATTACGAGGAGATACTCCGAACGTGTCGCGCGTTCTTCGTCCCTCACCTTCCCCGGGGGCGCCTGTCACAAGCCCCCACGGAGCTCACTCCGCCGTCGGCTCTTCACAAGACACACTGACGCCTCCTGGCGTGTTAACGGGCTGCATGAATCAGGCAAGAGTCCCCAGGCACATGAGAAGAAGTAGTTAAATCACTGAACTTGGGGGCA